CATACGGCGCATGCACACAGGTGTACACACATACCGCACATGCACACAGGTGTACACACATACGGCGCATGTACACAGGTGTACATACGGCGCATGCGCGCACGCACACACACAGCGCATGCGCGCACCCCAGGGATCGCGTTCCAAACTGATGTCTAGCAAGTGAGACGACAGCGTGCTCGCATTTTTCCACTGAAAGCAGTAACTGTAAGAGATTATCAGTGGCAAGTATTCAGCTACCTGAGTGTGGACCACAATTTGATAGTCTTAGAGTGATTACATTTTCTTTCTGTTATCTTATGAAATTGTCTTCCGTATGCTGAGATAATGACCTTTAGTTCTAACTTCAGTGAAAACTTTTATTAACATCACCTAAAGCGACTTACAGCTTCTTTCGAGTTCTTTCACTGGGCCTCCGAGTCTTAGGAGCTCTTTCTGTACGAGGCTCCACCTTGATCAGCTGCAATCCAGGGCAACCTCTGGCTGAATACAGGGCCGTTCTCGACCCAAGTTGCTGCCGTGCCCCACGCTAGGCGCTGTTAGGTGGTGATACAGAGGAGCGGAACGTCTATCTGTCCATCCACGTGTTTCAGAGGGAAAGAGCTTATCTCCTTACACAAATGTTATTTTCATTTGTTAAATAATAAGGAACTACCACGAGGTCGGCAGGCTAAGCAGCCAGTGTGAACGTGCTCCCTGGGAGCTGCTCGCGGGCGGCTCCCGTAGGCATCCTGACATCAGAGGCTGCCAGAAAGGTTTAGGGCCTTAATGTCTGCCAAGGGCCTGGCACACCGTCCAGCACCACTGCCACCCAGAAACGTCCACCGCTATTTCACAGCCCGTGGGGGCAGGGAGCTCCTTTGCTCCAGGGGAGTCTGCCTTTCCCCGCTCCGGGCAGGCCCGCCCTCCCCAGCTGGGAGGACCTCCGGGAGAGAGCCAGGGGCCCAGCAGGGTCTGCTCACCCTGCAGGTCTGCTCGCCTCCCCCTGGGTTGCTTTCCCACAGGATCAGGCCACCAGTTACCTGGCTGCAGCCACAACACCTGGGCCGGTCTGCCTGTCTGTTTACTTGCCCTCCATCTGGCTCTGTCTGTCTGTCTGTCTGTCTGTCTGTCTGTCTGTCTGTCTGATTTGGGGCTGTGTTGCTGGCAACCCCGAGTAGCTGGACATCTGAGGATGTCATCTGCCTCTCCATTTGTTTCACTTCCACTGAATAAGAAATTTGGGGTGGGTGCGTGCCTTTTTATTATTCTCCCCCAAATCCAAATATCCCTTTCCTCTTAATATAATAATTACTTTTGCACAAGTCAGGACCAGAAAGCCACTCAAACACATAAAAGTCCTTTACACCAGCAGCTTCTCTAGACCACTGCTCTTTAGTAACAGCCATGTTCCATGACTGATGGAATAAATACATGATGGGAAAGCTGAGTGGCTACGCCATGAAAACTGTGAGGCAAGTGACAATCACCATGTAGCTCTGGACATCAGCCAGGGCTATGCCAGTCATCTCTAGAGCAGGACTCAAAGATGAACAGCGACCACAGGACCCGACAGGATGTCACTAGGACATGCGTGATGAAGTCAATGTGAATTAGATAATAACAAAAGTTGAGGGCCACAGGGTTAGGTCAGTGGTCTGAGCACTTGCTTAGGCAAGCACAAGGACCAAGGTTTGATCCCCAGCACTAGCTCTGCTCCTGCCCCGGGAGTACTGAGCTGGCCACGGAGACTGGGTGTGGTGGCTCATGCTTGTAATCACAGTGCCGGGGAGGCTGAAAGAAGGAGGATCACTATGAGTCCGAGCTGCGTAGTGAGATCTTGCACCAAATACATAAAAA